ATACAGTTGGGTGTAAATTGTTAATTTTGAGGGAAATTTTGGTTAAAACTGCTATGAAATTCAAATAAAATGTAAATAATTTCTGACATTTTAAAATAGGACTTTGTCTTGAAGCGTGGGACAATGATAGGGATGTTTGGTATTTAGTAGAACAATATGCAATTCATAATTATTTGACCAAGGGCAATTCCATCACAACTTTTATAAGTATCAGTACTAGGACATTCTAGAGTTTGTTCTAATTCTTTAATGAGTTTGTGATTTTAGAATTTGTAGTTGATATTTGGCACAAGCAGAGTGAATGTCATCGAGGTATTGACGTTTATTGATTTTGAACAGTAAGTGTCATTATTTTCTTATTTCTGGCACATCTGATCATGTACACATTTCTATGTTTATTCTTTTTGCAGTTCAGGATTTGGGGCAGTTGGCCGTTTGTGCTATAACAACAACAAATCTAGAGCCACATGGGAGGATGCATCACAAGATAAATTTTATTTATAATAGTGAAAGTAACAAAATGTGGCAAATATAAGTTTTGTTTTTTAATTACTTTGTATTATTTTTTCTCTGGCAGTTCTCCTTCCTTCTGACTTGATGGCAATCTTGGGGGAAGGGTCTTTTAAGCTCAGAGATCATGGGACGATGTATTTGAAGGGATCTTCTTGATTACCGCATCAGGCCGCTGTTGTTGCTGAACAAAGACATGATGATGCTGAACTGTGCCCATCTTCTGCTGGACTGTTGTATGAAAGCCAAACGCTGTTGAGCGATTACGAAGGTCAGTGAAGGCGAACTGTTCTCCTGCTGTACATGATGATGCTGCACGTGATTGCAAAGTGCTGCTCACAGGACCTGGCAACAGATGTCTCCTTTGACTTTTGCTTTTTCACCCGGCGAAAAAAAAAGGGGACTCAAGCGTTTCTGGGGGGATCTTCTAGGCTGGGAATAGCGTGATCGGGCCCCAAAGATCATACCTTTTGTCCAAAACCCGGAGGGGGGTTTTCGTAGATGCTGGTCTGCGGGTTTTCATTCCTCCTGTCGCCACGAAAGGCTGACCAAAAGTTCATCAAAGCGGGATTTACCAGAGTTTTTCCCATGCGGAATACTGCTATTTGGGACACCTTTCTGTTTCCAGAAAAGAATTGGGGCGGCAAGGTCGCCAGGGGTGGTCCTGTTGGTGTTCTCAGTTTGACCCTGGATTCCACCTTGATCAGGGGACCGGGCCCCAAAACCCCCACCCCGGGGTTCCCTTCAACTGCAGGGTTGGGGGGGGAAGAAAGGGGGCCCAAAACACAATTTGAAGTGGTAAAATTAATTCTTTTCTTAAATTTTTTGTATGTGTGTGCCATTGTTCTCTTTTTAAATTTTAGTATACACTGTGCGCCCTGCTGTCTTCAGCCGCAGCCCGCAGTGTAATTCTAAGGTTGGGGCACCCCTCCCTGGGGTCAGAGGTTAACAATGAGTTGGGGGTTGGTGTGCACCACTTTACGACACTGCATTCCCCATGGATTCCCTCTGTTTGTCTCCAAAAATGCATGTGTTTTTTTTCCTTTCCGCCGCAAAGTGGGCAGGGACTAACAATGAAATTTTACATTCTTTTTTTAACTATAGCAAAGGGGCTTTTGGTGTTACCTTCACTACTAAGGGAAGATGATCAAAATTTTTTTTTACTAGTACGTGGCTACCTTTCATAAAACAAATTTTCAATTAAATGGAATTGAAATTTAAAGGGTTTTTTTTTTAAAGTGATTGTGGGGTCTATAGAGTTTTTGAGCAAATGACACCAATTTTCTTTTTTATTTCAAAAAATTTAATAAACTTGAATTTTTTGATTGAGGTTAAATTGAACAGCTCTGGGACACCATGTTTAATTGCTCCAACGGTTTACATGGGTTAAAGTTAGTGGTGATAGGGGTTTCATCAAAAAGAGTTGGAGGATTTTTATTGTATCTAGACAAAACATTTGTTCTGTTATAAAACGGGGGAAAATGAAAATTGGTTTAAAAAAAAAGGGAATCCCTTTACCTGAGGGGTTTTAAATTAAAAAAATTAAAATTTTTTTCGGAAAAAGCTTTTGTTTTAAAAAGAAGAAAAAATTTAAAAGTGTAAAAGAATTTCAAAAATCTTTAAAAAATTTTATAAAAAAGTGTTTTTAAAAAAGGGAAGGTTGTTGGGGTTTATCCATTAGTTTTTAAAATAAGGTTTTCCCAAAACCCAGGAAAAATTTTTAAAAATAAGGGTTTACATCTTTTTTAAAAAATTTAGCTGTATCGAACTCTCTCCAAAATTTAAAAGGCATTGATAATTATAAACAAAATAAAAAGGGTAATAAATTATTTTAATTAATTGGTTTTAAATTGTTTTTCAAAAAAATAAAGGGGTCAAAGGTAAAAAAGGTTGAAATTTTTTGGGATTTAAAATATGATTGGAAAAAAAGTAGGTCATTTTTGATATTTAGGACTCGTAAAAAAAGGGGGATCATTCTTTAAAGGTTTAAAAAAAAAAATATGATGATTAAATTTAAAATTGGTCAAAATTTAGATTTACAAAATTTCGTTTATGGAACTGTTCTAAAATCAGTTAATTTTGGGGTTTAACATGAAGGAAACTTTCATTTTTCATTTTGGGCCCCCAAAAAAAAGAGGTCCAAAGGATTGAAAAAACAGCTCCAAAATAGCAGATTTATAATACAAAAAGGGAAAACAGCAAAAATGCCTAAAGTGCGGATCAATCATTAACCAATAACGGGTTCCCTCTCCATATACTCCACCCACGGATGTTCCCGGGACCTGCTACCCGTTTTCCCGGATGGGAAAGGAACTTGCACAGTATCTCAAAAAAGATTTCTTCAATGATTACAGGGCCTGGAGGGAATTTACAAAAAACCAAAAATCCAGGGGAACGTCCCGGGTCGGATCAGTTCGGGAAATCGACTTCGCAGAAGGCATCAAAAGAAAAATGGTCTGAACCCCGCTTTACCAGACCAACCGGTCGTGGAGAGTTTCTCACTGTCCTCTCAAAAAAGGGGAAAACGGGGTCCATTGGGGCCTGAGGGGCCACAACGCACGCGCAGGGGATACAGGAGAACTACAGTCTCAACCGCGGGAGGATGTCCCCGAGGCACTCACGCGCAAAAGGGGTCGCATTTCCGGGCAGAAGTTGCCAAACTATTCTTTTCCCGAATACAAGGCTTTAAAAGCCCGGGGACACAAAATCCCTTTTGGGGTCCTTCCATTGAAAAAGGAGATTGACCCTTTCCTTTAAACCACTTTAAATTGGCAAAACTCCAATTTTCAGGAGCAACGGACACCAGGGAAAACCCGAGGGTTACAACCAGGAGGAACACGTGAAGGACAGGGTACAAAAACATCATTAAACTTTCTTTTTTTATGGTGTTTTTTTTTTTTGGGGAACTCTTTAAAACTTCGTTTTCTTTTTGGCGTATTTTTGGATCGTTTCCCCGACGAAGAATTCATATTCATTTTTGAAAGACTATCAAAGGAGCATAGGACAAAAAGTTTTAATTTTTTAATTGTAAAAAAAAAAAAAAAAGGTTTTTGTAAAATTTTTTATGTGTTTATGATTTTTTTTTATTTGTTATTGTTTGTATTTTACAAAATTTTTAATTTTTGTGCGAGATTGTTTTTTTAATCCTGACTTTTTTTTTAGTAATTTTTGGATATCTTTCTCTGGTTTCTAATTTATACTTGGGGTGGGATTTCTATTTGTTTTTCTTCCCATTGAATAAATGATTTTATGATTTTTATTTTGAAAGTGAAATGGGTTTTTTTTAGTTTGTTTTTACTGGTTAAAATTTTTTTGGGTTATCAGGTGGATTAAATTTGGAGAGCGCAAGATAATTTATAAGTTTAGATACTGGGGGTTTTTGCTTCAGACACATACCGGGAGGGAACTAGGGGGTCTGTTTAAAAGGGGCTGTTATAAAATTGGGAATTTTTATTTTTTATAACTAAAATTTTTTTGGTTCCCCTATTAAAGGCTTCAATTTTTTATATTTATTTTTTTTCCCCCAACCCAAAACGGGACGTTTAAAAAGGAAAATGTTTATTTTAGTCTTTGTGTTAATCTTAGGCATGTGTAAAAGGTAATTTGTATACCCCTTGTGAACATATTTTATTTTTAACAATTTGTGAAATAAAACCCTTTTCCTTAACCAAAACTAAATTTAAGTTTTTACTGAGAAAATTTTTGGTGAGGCCCCCCCCATTCCACAAGCTGTCTGTGGAAGCTTATCTTGTTTTTTATGATTTAAGAATTTAATGCCAGGAAAAGCTTTCCGCCTTTTCTTTAAAAAAAGAAGTAAAGACCCCCCCAAGTTTTTCAGTAAATAAGGGGAAACCCCAGCATGTCAGAGATGGGTTTTTGGTTTTGGAGGAAACCGAGGCCAAAACCCCTTTTTTAATGGTTTTAATACAAGGGGAAAAGCTTTCTAAATAGAATTACGTCAGATTTTGCCCTTGCAAACTCCCAAAGAGTCTTGTACGTTTTTTCTTTCTTTCCCCCTATGTCAGGTAATGGAATGTATGTCTCTGTTGTTCTGCAGTTTCTGGTGTGGGTTTTTGTGCATTGTCTTATTTCTAAAGTGTAGCATTGCCCTTATATTGGATTAAACTCTGTAATTCTGTGATGTCAACATGCCTTGCTGATTTTCATAGTGACCACACGCAGCTCGCCGAGTGGACCTGGGGAAGGGAAGAATCAAAAGCCAACCTTTTTCCAAAGTTAATTATGTTAGAATATTTTCTTCCTTTACATCGACTAAATGTGATAAAAACTAACAAGCGATTCTGAAACTGGACTAAAACTGAAACTAAATTTAAAAATGGCTGCTAAAATTAACACTAGTGCTATACAGCTATTAGTAGGAACAGTTCTCCAGGATTTCTAACTGAGAAGTGGCGCAGTGGTTAAAGTGACAGCATTCAATGCAAAGTTTCTGTTTCATTACAGGTTCAAATCTGTCTGGTGACTGGTTCCTACCTCTGGCCTTCCTCTTGTAGTAGATGAATCCAGCCAGAGACAGAACCAGACCCAGGATCAGACCTGAAGCTCCGATGGCCAGCTGGTTCCTCTCTGACTCTGGCATGGACGGATCTGAGGACAGGAGGAGACGGGATGAGGCAGGAGGAGACCATATGAGGCAAAAGGAGAAGATATGAGACAGGAGATATGAGGCAGGAAGAGACATAGAAAGAAATCAGAACATCAGTCATTCAGTCAGTCAGGTTTTTACCCCAGTCAGTGATCAGAGGTTCCTTCAGGCTGGCGTGTTCCACCCTACAGGAGATCTTCTCTCCAGACCTGCAGAGACCAGAACCATCAGAACTGGACCAGAACCTCTCTCTGCTACCAGAACCTGTCAGAGGACTGACCTGGGCTGGTACTCCAGGTTGGAGTGGATCTGGTAGTACCAGTCTCCATCTGGCAGCTCCTCAGTGGAGGTGACTCCAGAGGTGATCTCCTGTCCGTCTCTCAGCCAGCTCACCTTGATGGTTTTAGGGTAGAAGCTGAAGGCGTAGCAGGTCAGCATGGAGGGATGGCTGCCACCAGGGGGCGTAGTGGAGTACAGTCTGACTGTTGGTTTCTCTGGAGAAATAATCCAGAATATGGATTTATTATTACATTTAAATGACATGAATGATTATACTTAGATTAAATTCTTATTGGTGGGATTAACAGATGGGTTTATTTTATGATCAATGATTTAAAACTAAATTAAAGAAAAGTTTAATTTCTAGTTAATTTCAGGTCATGGAAATTATTAGATCAATAGAAACCAATTTGAGGACAGATGAACAGAAATTATTACTTCACAAGAGTTACAGAGTGAGATTTGTCTATATGAATATTATAGAATATCTTCTATAAAGATAGAATTGTGAGTTATAGAATGAGTTTAGATATTAAACTCTGATATATTTCTATGGTTACAGTACGATGTTGAAGGGAAAATAGATTTAATG